TTAGAGCAAAACAGCGTGAAAGAATGACTGAGTACCTTCAGCGATAAACAATATGCTCGTAGAACGATCATGATTAAAACACCACACGAGTACTACGAGTAACATACAAATACACACGAGTAAACAAACGAACACATACGAGTAACATACGAATAGATACGAACCATAAGAATACACACGAGTAATATGCGAATACATACGGATAACATACGAAAATATGCGAGTAATATACGAATACACACGAGTAACACGAATACATACGAATAAATACGAGTAACATACGAATACATACGAGTAACATACGAATACCCACGAGTAACATACGAATACATACGGATAACACATGAATACATACGAATAAATACGAGTAACATACGAATACATACGGATAACATACGAATACATGAGATACATACGGGTAAAATACAGATTACATACGAATATACAATGGCAGGAGGGTAATACGTGTGTTTAGGAAACATAGGAACCGTTATGAAGGTTCAGTGAAAGAATGAATCAAAAATAATAACAGTAATTTAATAAAATCTAAAATAACTTTCATGACTTTTCTCGTTTTATTGTAATGCTTTGATCCAAAGAACTGAAAATCTGGCTTGATTTACATCAGATATCATGATTTTGTTATTGTACAGTTTAAAATTTAAAGTTTGTTAGCAGTCAGTGGTCGGTTCTACAAAGTTTCTGCTAACTTTACACGAGTCTTTCAGCAAATACCATCGTGGCTAACCTAACAAAACACTTTCAACGGATCAGCCTGAAGATGATTTCTGCTCAGGTTGTCGAAACGTCAGTCACTAACAACAGTTCTTTTCAGAACTACCCTCACCCGGACGATCACACTATACGAACTACGGATACACCTGGGTTCAAACCATTTACTATGTGCCATAATTGCGCGATATAAAGTTTGTTGTATTACAACTTTTCTGAGCGCAATAGTTGAGCCATACGAATCCAAAGAAAATGGTCAATTTTAGCTCACTCAATGTTAGACCGAAAATCCCCTTTTTTTCCTTGGAAATACCAAAATATTTGACGGAAAAAATACATTGTGCCTTTACTTTAACGTATACAACAGTACGGCAAATTCTATTTTTCAAGTCTTACCGCCCTACATTTGATTTTTCCTGACGTTTGCTCTAAAGTGAACAGTTCAACGGGGGACAAATTGTAATTAGCGTTTAGCCATTTTTCGGAACATGTCTGTGGATGTGTTAATTAGCCACAACACCATTTTCTGACCAAAGCCATGTAAGGTTTATATTTAATGACGATTTGAATAATGCAAAAATTAGAAGTGAGGAAGATTTGCCCTCCAGAAACGTTTTCTGTTATTAATCGCTACCAAAGGAAGCTACTGGCATATAACTTTTGGAGATGATAAAAAGAGAGGTAATATATTAGGACGGTTGGAAAAATGTGACCTCTCACGTGAAATCGTACACTAACGGATATCCATTTAATGGACAAAACGAACGGATAATGAACGGGTAACGAATAGATGAGGAACGGATGTTCCAACCGTTTAAAACGGTTTCAAATACCGTTAGAACAGCCATGGAAAAATTTCGAACAGATGCTGTAAACGTTCGAACGGCAAAGGAAACATTTCGAACGGATGATGCCACCGTTCGATCGCCTAACGAAAAATTTTGAACGGACGATGCTAGCCGTTCGAACGGGTAAAAAAATTTCGAACGGATGATGCCAGTCGTTCGAACGGTAACGAAAAATTTCAAATGGATGACGCCAGCCGTTCGAACGGCCGTTCGAAAAGTTTCGAACAGAACACTAGGCTCTTAAACCAAAGGAAAGATTTTATGGCAGCTCAGCTGGCAGAGCCCGACATCAATATTTACAACCTTATGCATATGTAACTCAACATTTCTTTGATACCCAAGGCCCTAGAGCACTTTTAGTTTTTGATATTTCTTTCAAGCTGTTTTGTCTAGCTTTTTTAGTGTCCTTCCATCATCATCTACAGAAGTTCGTTACACCAACAAATGGTACCCAAACCTTCCTGATATTTTTTTAATCAGTGTTACATAGACAATGAAAAGGCAAGCCAGTTCTTCGCAAACGAAAACTATCTCAAATCACCCAAGAGAAGCTAGTCGAAAAAAAACACAGTTTCACCTTAGTTAGGGAACCAAAACGTCCTTTCCAAACGGTTTTTGGCCTTACTTTTCGGCATCACAAACGCACCCTTACCGTTACGCAGTAAAGACATGCAAGGCAATCTTATGCACCCCTCTCACTTATATCTAGCTGTTATTGTAATGGCGGCACCTCACTAGAAATCCCTACACCGTAGCATAACATTTTGATTTCAGTCAGACACAGCATTGGGGTTACAAAAAAAAATAAATGCTGTAAGCAGGGCAAACGTTGTTGAAATATCTGGAGTACCAAAAATTGTGTAGCTTGAGTTTGCACAAAACTTTCAATTTCCTCATTTCACATCTGGTTTATAATGGTAATTGAACTGAGTGGAGTGCAATTTGGTCTGAAATCATACTTGTGATTTCAAAATCGAACGAGCGCGCAGCGCGAGTTCGATTTGAAATCACAAGTATGATTTCAGACCAAAATTGCACGACCCGAAGTTCAACTGCCACTTTATTAGATCCATTTTGAAATCGCACAATTTTATCGCCTTAAATTTTAGATTTTTGATGTATTGTTCCAGTAGCCAGTTTGTTAAAAACAAGCGGAACCGGAAACGCCTTTACGTCTCATTTAGTATGCAAAACGATGTCATGTGACGAAAAC